TTCCTTTTTTGACTACTACTACTACTACTACTACTACTGCTACTACTACTACTACTGCTACTACTACTGCTACTGCTACTGCTACTGCTACTGCTACTACTATTACTACTACTACTACTGCTACTACTACTATTATTACTACTTTCTACTGCCGCTGCTTCTTTGCTCGCGAGCGTGCCCGGGAATACGAATCGCGAAACGCGATATAAAAGTCCTGCCAGAACTCGAAAATCCGCGCGTATCCCGTGAAATGAATTCTTCCATGTTTTTTACTCCGAAAGAGAAGAAACGACGATGACAGTTTAAACGAAGTGCGCCGGATTGGGTTAGACTCAAAGAAATACCGAGAATAATTAAATGTATTTGTGTAGAGATCGGTTCGTCTCTAATTCGGAACACGATAACGAACGGAATAAACAACCGCTGTCGTTTAAAGAGGAATCTATCTTGACGGATAACTACCCGGATGGAGACAGATAACATGTTAATGCACAAAGCCGCACGAAATCAGTCACGAGGCTACATGGTAACAAAATTTTAATCACGACCCGTTGTCGTACTCTCGTCCGGGTAAAGCTCTTCGGTAGAACATACGTGACCGTCGTCCTGGCGAAATAGTACAAAACAAACGGAATTGACTGCGCGGAACGGGAATCTTGCGCGTTTCTGACTCGGCGTGTCACAATCAGAATACAGCTTTACGAGGGAAGATCAAAGCGGCTCACGAGCGTGCGATGTGTGTACGTTGCTGGATCAACGGCACCGCGTGTGTGACTAACATAATCAAGCCGTGCGAGACGTCAGAGCGAGCTCGAATTAACGTTATAATTTTATCGTAGACTATCACGTTTGCGTTTGTAGTGAAAAATGAAATACAAAATGCATTAAAAACTATATATATATATATAGTTACCGAATTAGAATTAGAAAGATATGTGCACTGGGCCGATAGGAAATCTCGTTGAGAGAATTGAAAATTAGCACTGTATCGGCTCGCATATATATATATATATATATATACATATACTTATTTTCAAAGCGCAAATTTGTTACACGGTAATTTGTTATATCCGTTCTCTACATGGTAGGTGTTACAAAGGATGACAATTTAAACCATCAACCTCGTGATTTACGTCAATCAGTTGTCGACACGCAGATGGTACCGCAATGTTTGGCGCCAGAGGGAACTATCCCGATTCATGTGGTAGAATTTAGTATATGACTCATGTTTGTATCTCTGTCCGCGAGCATAATGATTAGACCATCACGGTTGAATAACAGGCTAGTGCAATCTGTAATAACAAAGGGATAGCATAACCAAACGATTTTAGTGCCCTTCCACTGTAGCGTCCGCGTATTGACCGATGCTTTGACCGATACTCTACTTTTACAATGATAAAGCATTATTGATTGCAATCGGGTTCGTTGTGTTTCGATAGCCGTAAAAATATTATGGCTCATAGAATACTCATCGTCGATAATGTAACGCCGTTGCACTATTTATTATACAGTAGTTATTATACAGTAACTTCACGCTGCTACGCTCCCACAGAATAGAGTGGAAATTTATTATGTTGTGGCAATAATCCTTTGAAAACGTTTAGCATAAATACAATGGATTTAGCAATAATAAACATAAATACGATGTAATTAATAATTTAGCAATAAAGTTATACAAAGTATACATTTTGAATAATTAATAAAAGATTTCAGTCAAATTCGCTGAATTTCGCTGAATTAAATTTAATAACGCGAAAAAAATTTCTTCGTTTAAATAACACTTCATCATTCGAAAAAATCCTAATCGATATATATTGATGATTGTTGTCACCGGATATCGATACTGATAATATTATGATTTCGTAGTAATTGCAAATTTGAATCTTTGTAAATGTTGCATGGGTATGTTTTGCGAGTGTTCGCAACCACGTTTGGCCGGTCGACCCTAATTCGGAAGCGTACAGAGACCGTGGGCAGAAGCATGGAAAACGAGAGAAGTTTCGTCGACAACCCTCGGAGAATGTACCCTACAAAGCGGCAGACGTGGCAAGCGAGGGAAGGGTGATGGGGGAAGAGAGTCTAAAGGCCGCACCAGGAGAGCAGGAAATTACGTCTCCGGACGTCCGTTCGTTCGGCTTCAGAGCACCGCGGCACAGGTCTTGAGAGAAACCAGCGGCTCCTCCAGAAGACGAGTGCAAACGCGGGAAAGGCCAACGGGGCATGGGCAGGGGGTCAGGAAAGAGAGAGCCGTAAGAGAGGCCGCGGCCCGTCCATGACCGAGAGCCAAGACTACGAAAGAATGCTGGAGCGTAAAGGAGGAGAGAGGAATCAGTCACAGTGAATATACCCAACGTTCGTCTTGATCTAAGTGTACTTTGAGAATGCAACCGGTGTACGAACGACACACACACACACACACACACACACACACACACACACACACACACACACACACACACACACACACACACACACACATACTCGCTGACGTTTTAAACTCGCATTCGGGCCGAGCAATCACATACGAGATACTCTACCCTTACAACGACTGATCCGTATCGTGCTGTATCGAACGCGCGCGAATACGGTAACGTTTATCTCGCTTTGCTGAAGCAGAGATCACTGTTTCTTCGCGAAGAGCAAACAATCCTTGATTGTACGGCACGATCCAAGTACGTTCCACCTATCTCGGCGCTAATACGTTTCTGTGATTGCGGTGCCTACTTGAAGGCATCGCGAAACGTTCGCTCTTCGGTCTATATAATGACAGGCAAAGTAAACCTCATCGGTTTCGAGTACTCACTTACCGCAAACTATCCCAGTCTGAATTAGTTTCGAGTCACCCCTCAAGCATCTTTCCCCCATAAGATATTCGCTATAATTACCTCAGGCCGTGACGAGGCTGGCGGCAAGGTGGACGTTTCTTGACGTCGATACTCCTCGGACGATTACCCTTATCGTTTCGCTCTGAGAACTGGGAATATAACGATATCGAGTTCTCGCTAATTCCTCATACCACGTGCCCCGGATTATGACGTAGGCGGTAAATTGAATCGCTAGGACATTCAATCGAAGCGACATCTGAATCTATTATCGGTTATTTAATTAAAAATTTTTCGCTCGACCTCATTTAGCGGTAAGTCAGTATAATCTGATTATTAAGAATAATATTATTTCGCATATTTTATTTCGTCAACTTAAATGCATCAACATTTGATTTATTTTACTGTGAAACTAAATAGAGAACATCTAAAAAACAGAAAAATATTAATATAAATATAAATATAAATATAAATAATTTTTGTTTTAAAATTTCAAATTTACACCATTATGATTCTGAAATTTTATTCTTCCTTATTACCAATTAGAATTACAAATTTTATTAAATAAATTTTTCATACAATTAGCTTTAGAAAGGAAATTTCTTTGTAGATATATATCGTAAAATAGAATTATATTTTAATAATTAATAAATGTCGCTTCATATCTAAAATAGTAACTGATTAACGGCTCTTTCAATATTCATGAGATCCTTATTCGTTAGTTAATATTCTCGACACTAGATGATTTCAAAATCTTTCTTTATTGTGGCGAGAAGTTATATCCGCTCTAATTCCATTTCATAATACTTAAGTCAGCTAACTACTACTTAAGGGTTAAAGAAATCTAGAAAAGCAATCCACGGATCCCGATATCGTCCTTTTCTAGTTGCATAGTGAAAATTTTCTTGTTATTTCAACGATAACATCATCACAGAACGAAAGTGACTGTGAATCGCTGACATTCACACGATTCAGCTGAGGGGTTGAAAGTAGACGCCTCGTAATCGTGATTGTAGGATACTATATGCATTCAGTGCCTCCATTTTCTAGATCCAGAAGCAGACGCGAAATGTTAAAGCAAACCTCTCGTGTGAATAAAGAAAGACAAGGAGAAAAGGACAAAACGAGAAAAGAACAAAAAAAAATATAAAAAAAGATTTGAAAGAATGAGGCAATATTCACGAGTGTAAAAAATATAACAAATAATAAAAAAGGAAAATCGGCACAGTACAAAAAATAATTTTCTAAAATCAATAATATTATTTTCCTCCTTTGTAAAAGACGATATATTTCGGACAGATAAGCAAACTGAATCGTTGTTATGAAATAATGTTATTTCAGCCGAAGGGATGTAGTTTCAAACTAGATATCGCTCCCATTGGAATATCCGCTTGTCCCATTCTCGTTACTCCATCTTTACGTTGAGGAGTAATAACTAAAAGTGGGCAAATCTCGAAAAGCACCGAGAGTCCGCGTAACTAAATTGAACAAGAGGACGGGAGGTGAGAATCGAGGTAAAATTGACTCGCTTCTCGAGAATGACCGGATCGATTAGACTTCGTCGAGACGACGACAGGAACGTTGACGACGGCGGCGACTTCGGAACATCTGTGGTTCGACGTTCTTTTATGATTCGTTGAACAAGAGAACAAAGAAGGCGGAAGAGAGAACGGGGCCGATTGGACATGCCGTTGGAAAATCTCGCTTGTAACTTCTTACGGGAAAAGCCCCGTGCTAGAAAACCCGTTGTACACGATCAACGTTTAGCTTAAACGCTAACGTGTCTCGGATAAAGAGACTGATATTTCTCTGTTATATCAATTAAAATGCACTATTAATCAACGTGCGTAAAATATCATAACATATTCAATTAACACGTAAACGCAACAGTGGTTAAACAATAATTAAAATGTAAAATTGATATGATATTTCTCGAAACCGTACGGATTCTCAAAATACTGTCTGGACATGGTGATCCATTAGTCGCGCGAAGCGAGGCGCGCGTAATTGTTATCCGGCACAAGCCGTTTATTGGTGTGTGTCTCTCTTTCTCTTTCTCTTTCTCTCTCTCTCTCTCTTTCTGCCACGACTCTCGCTACCTGACGGTTAAATTCTAGAACGACGGAGCATTCAGCATCGCGGACAAAAGCGTCACATCTGAAAACGCGAAGCACTCACCTTGGGTTGCCACGAAGAGCAGCATGGTGCAGAGCGTTGAAGCCATTGTTGTTGGTGAGGGTGATGTCTGCGGCGTGGTCCAACAACAGAGCCAACATGTCATCCCGTTTCTTAGAGATCGCGTCGTGAAGGGGTGTGTCGCCTTCGGAGTCCTGCAAGCAAGAAAATATTCTCTGTTATACATACATTTCATTTTCCAATAATTAAAATGCACGAGAATAAAACTAAACGCTAAAAAAAAAAAGGTGATAAATATCCAGAAATATGTAACTCAACGCAACATTTTAATCACTGTAACGCGAGGTAATATATAGGGACTATTGAATGAATTGAGGAATTATTCATTTTTAATTTTTTCGCTAACTTGAAATGCTTTATTTTTCAAAAGAGTTCATTCATTTGAAATATTACCCATAGCATGTTACATGTCAAACATACAACACACGGTATGTTCAATTCTATGCACGTTCTGCTAATTTATTGTTTCCCCTCTGTTCCACCAGTATCGTTAATCTTTTCAGGATTTGTAAGTCGTTTTTAACCCGAAAGAATTCAAAGACAGGATCACCATAGATAACGAGTGGAACCGCACTATTCACCTGGATTCTACTAGAACTGGATCAATGCTTCGGCCAGTTTTGGTTCGGGCGGTTACGATTCGGACGATACCTATGAGCTCCAGTCGGCGATAAAACGTACGGAAACAGAGGCCATCCATTAATGCCGAACAACACAGTACGAACTCGTCGCTGGCAAACAAATGGATGAACCAACGAATGAATGAATGAATGAATGAACGAACGAACGAACGAGCGAGCGTAGGGATAAACACTACAACTATGAGCCGATGTAACGCGTACAGTTTGCAGACAATGCAAGTATTTGCGTTTGAAAACTCGCGTGATAAGAATGATACGCTTTAAAAGAATAGCTGTCACACGAGCTTTTAACAAGCGCTTGAAAAAGTATTTCTAAATATTCTTTCCACTGATAATTCTATCATTTCAAATAACAAATAAGCTTAAATGTTCTCCACTCATTTAAACTTGTGAGTTAAACTTGTGAGTTGCTAGATCGTCTCTTCGGAAAAGAGATAATTTCACACACTCTATGCCGTCGATGCCCGTCAGCGACAATAATTCACCCGATGAAAAGGCGATATCGGTGAGGTTTCTTTTTACCGCTTTTACGATAAATCGGAAACGACGAAGCGTAAAATAGCATCTGTGACAAGCTCATGACGACGCTTGCGTTTCGGCGGAAAACTAGGAAGAACGAAAAGCTAGAACGCGCTTCCGCGGCATCAGCCGTTGCCGGCTGCGTAAATAATAGGGCATCAGGCACAGATACTTTATGGGATCAGTTGGAAAAATCCTTTGTATAACTCCAATAACCGTGGAGGATAAATCTGCCGGCGCTGTCGAGAACCGCCGGCGCTATCTCGCGCTATAAATGCTGGCCATGTGTCACGCCACTAGGTGAGGGTAAAAGGAAGAAAAAGAGAGACGAAGAGAAAGGGAGGTAACAGGAAAAGGAGTAAAAGAGGGAAGGGAGATGGGACTGAAAACGCAAAGCAAAGAGGAAAGCGAGAGGTCGAGGGAAAAAACCGTCGAGGCGAATGAGACTAGTTGGGGGCAAAGATCATGTGACAGTCACGGGACTGTCTTATTTACCTGAGAGACCCGTAGACTCTTGCCCATTACTTTTATTATCCTCGAAAACTTTTATTATCACAATCGAAAAACAAAGATAATTAAGAAAAATCGCGCGATATAATAATTAATTATTGCACGATTATTGCACATTAATTATTGCATAATTAAGCAAATATGTGTAATTAAGCAAATCTACAATATTTGAAAAAGTTACAATTTGTAGAAACATGAATTTATTCTACCGTATTAAAGATGACATTTCAATAATCAATCAATAATGAGTAATAACTGCTGCTAATACTTTGATGGTGATTATCGACTACATTCTTGATTTTTGCTGAGAATTACAACGTCCTGGCCGCGAATAAAGATTTGTACGAGAGGGATGAGAAAATAGTGGGTCCCTGGATGCGGACTTTCAATTTGTAACGCTGACGCACGCTCTTCTACCAATATGGTCCTTCTTCCATTCGACGCCCCCGCTGTTCCTCCTGGAAAAGGGTTTACATTATAACCCGTCTTCTCCACCCTTCTCCAGCCGTCCTCCTTTATATCTCGCCGCCGCCCACTCGTTTAAGTCCAACAAATGACATTCGATTCATACCGCACGCGCCACAGATAGCGTTCAAATAACTTGCGAAAACTTTAATTTCAACATTTTTCTTCTTCCTCCACGCCGCGACCGTTTCGCCGTCGCGATTCATCGCCGCCGGTCATCCGAGGCATCACGATCCGTTTCGAGTCGCTCGATCATTCTTAACACCGACAAATTGCCAGACTTGTCAAATGTAAGAAGTACGAATGGTCCATGCACGAATTCTACTATCTGATTTAGTTATACATCGTTGTATTTTGCTGGATAACGCGATTAAAAATAGAAAAGAATCCACGCGATAAAAAGTAAGTGCTACTCGCTATATCTAATAAATAAAAAAAACAATAAAGATATAGATATAATCGGAAAACCAAATAAATGTTTATGGATATCCGTCCCGCGAGAGAGCGTGTTCCTCAAATTTACTCCAGCTAAAACGGATACCTGGCGTCGATGCTCGTTGCTATCGACGACGCTGTGTACAGATCAGGTAAACGAGCCGACGAAATGAGAAAAGACAACAGCAACAACACAGGCCAGCGGTCTGGAAGTGTGGATGACAATCAGCGTCGGTGTCGAAGCCAGGGCAGGGGGAAAGGGAGAGGGGAATGAATCGACGACGGGAACGGGAAGTCGAAGCGGATTGATTGCACCGCAAATATTGACATCGCTAATTCTTCCCTTGGCCTGTCGCTTGGCTCGTCGAAGGTGACGAGCTACACTAATGAGAGCTTTAAGACATCAGCAAGATGTAAAGCAAACTCGGATTTCAAGTGCCGTCACTAGAAATCGAGAGGAGCAGTCATTCAATGTGACTGACGAATGCAACGTGGCGAAGTAGCTGTTGTCTCCATTGTTATAGAAAGCTAATCGTATTCCAAGTGCTTCCATCGCTTCTTGTAACAAAGTGTACATTGAATTAAATTAAATTGTTGTATGCTTGGCTCTCTACAAACTGCGTACTATTGCTATATTCGTTATACACCCAATGGTAAAATATTTTTCAAATATTTTTCATGTATTACATAATTCGATATTTCGGTGACGATTATAAGATTTGTTCTATACAATCTTTTCTTTCTTAAAAATAATCCATTTAAACATCATATTTCGGTTAATAAGATATTTTTCAGATACACTGCACATAATTCGACATTTCGATAATGATTCGATAATGATGAAACTTATTCTGACAATCATCTATTCTTTGATAAAAGCAATTCATTCGTACGAGCGTCGAACCAAATTTTAGCGGTTGAATATCCGCTCGAGCAAACTCTTAAACCATATCTTTGTCAAATCTAACGTAACTAGAAACGATCGCAGAAGCGAGTCCGGCAGCGAATGAGCTTAACTTCTTTTTCACAACGGCGATCAATGGCGATTTCGCTAAGACCGATGAAATAAAAAGAGACGCAGAGAGGATATCGAGTTAGAGGAAGAAGAAGAAGAGATAGGGGCGTCCCTTCCGCCTCCGTTGTTACCTCAACCTTCTTCCCTTCTCCCCTCCCCGAGTTTCTCCAGCTTCAGAGAGAGGATGGAGTTCGATTCGTAACGGGAGTCTGGGAAGATAATGCAGACCGTGAGAAAACGGAACGGAGCACCCTCAAAGTCCGCGCCCGTGCTTGATTGCAACCAACCTTTCCCACCCAACGTTTCCACTTTTGAGGAGGAGGCCCGGGGATTCCTTTGGACGATGCACCAACGAGACGGAACCGGGTAAGGGACGCCTTGCAAAGACAAGAACTGGTATGCGGGTCGTGTACGAACCCGGACGCCTACGGAAAGCGGAAAGGGAAAGGGGGAAGACTGGTGTATCTTCGAGTAGATTGTGAAAACGCAGAGGCTGCAAGATTTTCTGGCTGGCTGGATAAAAGCGGCAGGTGCTAAAAACAAGAGTTGGCTAACTCGTTACACCGATCGTGCCTGGACTTGTTATTCGACTCTTAGATGTGCACGAAGGCGTTTATGACCGTCCTGTCCGTCAGCGAGCGGAGCATCCTGAATAAAGCCAGACATCTGTCAAAATATTCGCGATATCTACGCTTGCACAAGTTTCTCGTGTAATTGTCTCATCTCCGCCAAGTGAAAACGTCGCGATTGTGCTAATTGACCCATCATGCAAATCTAAGGTTAAATTATTGAAATACAATACAGTCGGAAGTTCTAAATTTGATTATGAAAATAAAACGATAGAATTTTCGGTGACATTTAATTTCCAGGCAACGATAATAGGCTAATAGACCGTAAATCATGCCAAGAGAATTAAATTAATTTATTTCGATTTAGATCATTCGTCACGCACTTCAAAATCTTCATTATATTTATATTCGTTAGCCGTTAGCTTTAAAATCGCGTAGCGATAGGAATGCGTCGATAACGAACGAATGACATAGATAAGCCCGAATAGAAGCTCTTATTAAAACGGCAATCATTGCGCGGTTTAGTAATTTTTGATCAATAATTCGTAATCACACCGCGGCGTTGGTAGGTAATGTCAAATCGAAACCGTGTTGCCGCGCTGTCGACGGGTTGTAATCATCGCACAGGAACGTCACGTTGATTTCGCGACGAGTGTATGAGAGTGCACGTACGCGCTGTCACGTATGGCTCGCCGGTGCGCGCCTCTAACGACCCGAATCTACTTGGCGGTGCGAGGGTGAAGGCAAACCCGGACGCGGCACTCGTACACAGCCGCACGGTTGCATAATATTACGTTTATACCTGACATTCATCATTAGCGGCGGTAATTTATGTTGAGCGCGAATGGTCCCGCGCCCGCGAACGGGCTAATTAATATAAATTGCCAGCGCGAGGATTACGTAGAGCGGCGATGCCGTGATGCCGCGATTCATTGTGTACCGTACGAATCAGCTTGGAGCCGATTAAGCTGATAGATCGT